AGATTGTAGAACCTTTGTCAGTGCTAGCTCAGTTCTTTAAGTGGCTGCTTCAACAAAGCAGTCAGGCTCAGGTTGCTGTGGTTCGATCCCCACAACACAAGCCAGCCAGTCATGCCTTGAAGGCATTCAGAGAGAGAGAAAAAAAAAAGTAAGTCTTCTGCTTTGTGGTATATGAAGGAGGAAATTAGAGGGGGCAAAGGAGCCTCATAATGTTAAGTGTATTTATATATTTAGAAGAAGGTGTCAGGGAAAACTGGATACAAAAGTGGTAGTGAGAAATGGGGATGGGAAAAGATTCTATGACCAATATATTAGAGAAAAAGGTAAAGGGAATCAAATTAAAAGAGAGAGAGAGGAAAGAAAAGAAAGATTGAAAATGAATGACAAAAAAGAAATCAGGTGAAGAGATATTGATAAAAGTAGAAAGGATATAAAGGGACAAGGGAGAATTCCCTTCTCTATAAACTATACTGGGAGAAAAAAGGCAAGAAGAAAAGCAGCACACATACACAGACATGCTCATAAAAGAAAGAAAAGAGTAAAATAATGGAATAAAGTTTTCTATTGTTTTAGATACATGACTCTTTTATTCAGGCTAGGGTAAAGAAGCAGAGCTTAAACCAGGATGTGTCTCTGTTCACACTGGAAGTCTAAGGTGGCAGGCTGTCCCCAGAACAGTGCTGTGTATAGAGATCTCTTTACAGTGAGAACACCCCTCCAATGTGAGTGTCCAGTCCTGTGTAACTCAGACTGAGCCTGGCCTGTGACTGCAAGAGTTGGGTCTGTGTTCACCAACCCCTGCTGTTCAACAGGAGCCCTTGCAGTCTGCTTTCCAATTGCTGGCAGTCTCCTGTGACTTCCTTAACTCTAGGAACTTGGCGTTGTGAAGCAGCCAAGGAATTGCTCTGGGACCCAGGTTGAAATACTCAGCCCTTTCCTATAATGGCATCTTTCCCAGATCTTGCTCTGTGATTGTACCTGTGAGTGCTCACACTAAGGTCACTTACCAACTACTGATTTTGAAAGGCCTCTTTGGAAGTACAGTCCCATGTTTTCCTTACTGGTTCCAGTTGCAGGTTATTATTTTGGTCTGGATGCAGGTCTCCTGTTCTCCATGGGCAAAAATTGTTAATTTCACTTTAACTTCTAGCTCTCAGAAGCCAGTTTCTGTTAGCAGTGGTGCATGGTGTCTCCTCCACAATGTGATCTATTTCTTCTGTATCACTTATACCAATTTTCTTCTCCTCTGTCAGTTTCCTTGTGGTTTCCAGATAACCTGCACTCACTTTAGTTCTTCTCCTACCTATAGTTTTCCGGAGTCGAGATACTTTGTCCTGGAGAAGCTGAGTTGCTGGCAACTCACTACTCCACTATTGTGGTAACCCAAAGACTTGGGCCATTCTAATAGACGCATGCTGGTATCTCACTGTTTTATAAATGTGCGATTCTCTAATGATGTTGAAGATCTACTCACATGTTCATTTGCTATCTGTAAATTTCTCTTTTGTAAGGCATCTGTTTAGCTCTTTTATTCTTTTCTTTTTAAATTAAAAACATTTGTTTACCAATGTTGGGAATGAAACTTGGGTTTATTTTCCTCAATTTATTTTATTAGTGCTTGTTTGTGATGCATAATAAATATATGCATAGTGGGAGAATTGGTACATACATGTAGCACATCTTGAACCTCTTTATCTCTCTCTCTCTCTCTCTCTCTCTCTCTCTCTCTCTCTCTCTCTCTTTTTTAATGCATTTGGTATAGGGTCTCACTACAAAGCTCGGACTTGTAGTGATGCTCCTATTTTCAGCCTCCCCAGCACTGGGGTTACAGGCATGTGCCACCATGCCCAGTGGCACCTCAGCAGTGGCTGCCCAGGGGGCGGGGCCAGTGCAGCCTAGTCTCTGAGCATGCCTAAGCAGTGGCTTAGTCTGCTGAGCTAACTCGCTGGCCCTCTCAAACCTCTTTACATCCCCTTCTCCTCTCCTCTATTGTTTTCTCCCATTCTCAAATTCTATTCCCATCCTTTCAAAGAATCAATTCTCTAATTCATTCATCCTTTGTATTACTTTTTAGTCTCAGCTTCATTAGTTTTCACTCTGAACTTCATACTTACCTTTCTTTTCTAAATTTTAGATTTGGGTTGTTCTTTTCTTTCTAAGACATTGAGTTAGATTGTTAGATTACTTGGGATTGCTTTATTGTTTTTGTGTTCATTTACAGCTATGAACTTTCCTCTTAGAACTGATTTTATTGGGGCTGGGGAGGTGGCTCAGTGGAATAAGCACTTCCCTGGCAAGTGCAAGGGTCTGAGTTCAATTCCCGGTTCTGCCAAAAGAAAAAAAAAAAAAAACCCAAAAACTGATTTTATTGTATTCCATAAATTATGGTAGGTGCTTCCACTGTCTTTTGATTCTAGGTACTTTTTAATTTCTTCTGTGATCCACTGATCAATAGTGTATTATTTCATCTCCTGGCTTTTGCAGTTTCTCTTGCTATTGATTTTTAGTTTCATTCCATCATGATCTAATAGTATATAAAGGATTATTTCTTTTCTTTTGCATTTATTTAAGCATACTTGATGATCTAAGATATGATGTATTTTGCAAAAAGTTCTGTCATTGAGAAAAGTGTATAGTCTGTTGTCACTGTAGATTTCTGTTGTCTATTTGTTCAATAGTGTGCTTTAATTCTGATATTTATTGATTGTTTTTGTCTGGTTGATCTAAGTGTGACAGTGAAGCATTGAAGGTCCCCACTATAATTGTAATCGCTTTTGTCCTTTTAAGTCAATAACTTTCTGTTTTATGAAGTTGGGTCTGCTAGACCTGGTGAGATGGCTCAGTGATCTAAAGCACTTACTTAGAACAAGCTTAGCAAAACACAGGGACCGCGGTTCAATCCCCCAGCACCACATGCCAGCCATCCCCGCCCCCTGGTGGGCTGAGCTGGCCACACACACACACACACACACACACACACGCACACACACACACACACACACAAATAAATTTATAAAAAAAAAAGAAGTTGGGTTTGCTGATATTTGGTGAAGATACTTATAATTTTTTTTTAATTTTATTTATTTATTTATATGCGTGTGTGTGTGTGTGTGTGTGTGTGTGTGGCCAGTTCAGCCCACCAGGGGGCGGGGCTGGCTGGCATGTGGTGCTGGGGGATTGAACCTTGGTCCCTGTGCTTTGCTAAGCTTGTTCTAAGTAGGTGCTTTAGACCACTGAGCCATCTCACCTGCCCCATACTTATAATTTTTATCTCTTCCTGTTAGTTCACTTTAACAGAATTGAACCCAAGATTTTGCACTTGCTAGGTCAGTACTTTACTGTTGAGATAAATCTGCAGCCTCATGAACATTTAAAAAACTGCGCCATTTACTTTCTTATTGTTCATTGTTAAAAATTCTTTATCATGTATTTATAAATATTTGCTTATAGTATGTGGCTTATATTTTCAGCCTGTTAACAGTATCTTCCAAAGAATAATTTAAAAAAAATTTTTTTGTGATACTGATGATTGACACCAAGACCTCCAAATTAAGCCACATCCCAAGTTTCTCAGATGGGACTTAAACTCGTGATCCTCCAGACTCAACCTCCAGAATGCTAGCTGGGCTTGACTTCTGGGAACAGAAATTTTTAAGGAAGTTTGACTTATCAATTTTTCTTTCATGAATTAATGCATGTAAACAGTCATCACTAAATCCAGTGTCACCTAGATGTTCTATGTTATCTTCTAGAAAATTTATGCTAAAAGGGTGAGATGTTTCTACATTTTTTTTTGCAAATGTCCAATAATCCAGCATCATTTGCTGAAGAGACTGCTCTTTGTCAAAATTGTTTTCGCTTCTTTATCAAAGAAGAGTTGCCTATACTTGTGTGAGTCAAATTCTAGAGATTTATTTCTGTTCCAATGATTATGTTTTTCATGAGTGTCACACTTGATTACATAATTTCATAATGTTATGAAATTAGGTAGTGTTAGTCTTCCAGTTTTGTTCCTTATTATTGTGGTTGCTATACTGGGTCTTTGTCTTTCCATGCAAACTTTTTAAAAAGTATAACCACTTTTTTTTTTTCTTATTCACAGCACACTCCATTGCAGGCTAAATGGCTCTCATAAACGTAGACTCCTTCTGTCTGTGATGTCATTTCTTTCAGTGCCTACTCCTAGGATGTGGTATCAAAACAGAGAAATTAGAGGAGTGTATAGTGGAGCCGATCATGGGACAGGCCCATTTCTCACTCAAAACTGGAAAGACAAAATTCAGAACACTCTTGACAGGTGTTTCTGAAGGACACTTAGACTATAGTCCAGTCAACTGCCTATTTCTCTAGTGAGACTCCATAAACAGTGGAAGTGACTGGAAGTTTAGGTGTGGGATGGAGCTGACCACCAGAGCAGCAGAGTACAGCCTGGCAGTCCAGCAAAGATGGGGCAGGGCATGTCTATGTTTTGCCCTGCCCCGTAGCAACTAGTTCGTCTGTCCCTGCAAATGTTGGCTCTGCCTCCTGTTGCAGGATCGACCCTGACATCCTGCTTTCTCATTTCGGCCTTGTGTGTCGTCTCGAAGTGGCCTTCGTGGGGCGATGTCCCGGCCTCACAGGCTCTGCCTAGCTCCTCGCTGCTAGACCGATGGCCATCTCAGTGCCTGCATCCCCTCTTCAAGCCGCCGGCACTCAGCCACCAACCGCACACATCCTTCTCAAAGTGCGCGCGCGCGGGGTGGGGAAACCCAAGCGCGGCGCTCAGGGACAGACCGCACGCTAATAGAGCCGGCCCACTTGGCGGAGCACAATCACCCTTTTTAAGCGCCGTTGCCCTTTTAAGCGCGAGCTCGAGGGCACGCGCAGACCGGCCGTCGTGCGCAGGCGCAGAAAGCCGCAGGCGGATGTTTGCGGCGGCCGAGCTTGCGGCGGCGGCGCCGGGGCCGCGGACGCGGGAGGACGCGCTAGAGGACCTGCGGCGGTGTCCCGAGCCCGCGGACCGTGGAGCGCGAGCGCTGAGGTAGAGCGCCTCCCTTGGCCCCTCTCCTCCTGCAGCCGTCTCTCTCCGCCAGTCTGCAGAGCGCGAGGCCGTCCGGGCGGGAGGTGCGCCTAGGATGCCCCCAGCGCTTCCTTGCCCCTTCTCCAGAGACGCCGCCCGCAGCCTCGGCCCCGGCGGTTCCCCGCAGTCCCCGCCCCCAGCGTCTTCTCGTCGGGAGCCGTGCTCGAGGCTTTCCCCCCAGCGTCTCCTTCGCCCTCTCCGGGAACCCCTCCCCCAGCATCTTTTTCCAGTGTCTGCCGCCTCTCCAGGATCCCCGCCTCGGCGTCTTCTCCAGTGTCCCCTCTTCCCTTCTGCCGGGAGACCCGCGACGTTTCTCCTCTTGTCCTGCAGCATTTTCTGTCTTACCCTGCTTCACTTACAGACCCCAGATCTAACCTTGACTAGCACTTTATCTCTAGGTAGGAAATTTTTCAGCTAGTTTTCAGGCAAGTCAGGAATTGACAAGGTTGGAAACAAATTCTATCTTCCTTGGCCTTTTTTTTTACAAGTCCCCATACAGAGAAGAGCATTGGCTAGAGCAGCAAGGGAGGAGAATTTGTCTGGGCCTGGTTGCTTTGGGTTTTAGGGGCTGTGCCTTTACCCTTGAATTAGCCAGCTGAGTATCTGACTGCGGTCTTGTGCCTGCAGCGGTGGCCTTCGTTCCTCTCAGCAAAGGAAAGGCTAAAAGAGATGACTATTCATTCTAGTTGCTTGGTGGGCTGTCATTGAAGTGAGTAAAATTGTACCTACAAAAGCTGAGAATTGTGACAGCGGTTGGGGGACTAGAGGGACCCTCTTATGTGGTGGGATTTTGCACATTACCCCTGGTCAGCCCTGGATGTGTTGTGATAAAAAGTTTGACTTTTTTCAAGTGCACTTGTTAGAAAGTCTTTCTTAGGCATTGACTCTACCTAAGGCTTTTGTCCACAAGTAGGGACCACAAATAGTGTACTTGTGGCAGCTGTACTTTAGCTCTTAGAACATCTCTGGTTTTCAAAATGAGGTCTCCATTTTTCCATTATTCTGTCCATAGGATGTATAGTTTTGGGCCCCTTTTCCCGCTGGTCCTCCATATAATATTTTTCTTAGTAACATCTAGGTTGGACTGTGGGCTTCCTTGTGTGGTCTCCCAAACCCGGCCTAGACTAGCATTGACACCCTCATCGCCATATCCGAGCTTGTGTTGACACAGCCTCAGTCACAGCCCACCATTGGCCAATCTTGAGACCTTCCCATGCTTCTGCTGCTTTGTGCTGCACCCCACAGTGGTATTGTATCTTGTGGATTACTGCTGGATAGAGACTATAGTAAATATTAGTGTAAAAAGTGAAGAGCGGAGTGTAAAGGCATAGCCTTAAAGTGCTTCTCATCCATTACTTTGGGAATTTGTATTTGAGTGGATTGCAGAGCCTGGTATAGTGATAGGATTTGGTTTAGTGAGGCTATCTCTTGGCTGTTGTGTGTGTTTTTGGTGGCTGGTAACTGATCATACACATGTCAGCAGTAAGCAGCGATGTTCCTATATGAGCGACTATTAAATTAAAAACCTAATAGTGAGTGAATACCAGAGCCTGCCAGTGTTCACCTACATCTTCCCAGTGGCATTGACTAGGTTACCCTGATTGTGAAAGATTAACACGATACTGTATGTAAAGAATGTTGCTCTCTTGAACATTTTTAAAGAGCTGCTTTGTTGTGTAAAAACCATGCTAGCCCTGCTTTTCACACTGGCTGTGTTTTGCCTCTTTTCAGGTTTGAGGTTTTCACTGGCAGATAGTACCTGTAGAAAGCTGCTAGCGGTTTTATAAAAAGCTGTCCTTTTGATATGGAATATGTTTCCAAAGTAAGGAAAAGTTAAAAATAAGTGATACTGGGCTGGTGAGATGGCTCAGTGGTCTAGAGCACCTACTTAGAACAAGCTAAAGCAAGCAGAACACAGGGACCATGGTTCGATCCCCTAGCACCACATGCCAGCCAGCCCTGCCCCCTGGTGGGCTGACCTGGCCACACACACACACACACACACACACACACTAAATAAATAAATAAATAAAATTTAAAAAAAATAAGTGATACTTAGTAGAAAATGACATGTGCCTAATATATAGCTTGTGTTACCTTTTAAAGGTACAGCCATGAGACTGACATAGAATAAAAGCATTCTATGAGGCTTTTCATGAGCAGGTGACGCTCTTGGCCCAGCACTCAGTAGGATATGTGATTGTAAGGCTTTTACTAAGTAGACCCTTAAGCATCCAAACACATGACTCCACTTTAACCAGTGACCCAGATTTTAATATAACTATTCTGGGCTAGGGGTGTAACCTCAGAACTAAGTGGCTTATCCAAGATTAAACCCAACCTCATTAACCCTTAACTCCATCCATGTAAGTTAACTAGCCATGGACTGTCAACGGTTTTGAAGCACCTCAAAAGATGAAAATTTAATAATTGAACAGTGATATGCAGTTCTTAAATCTTGAAGATTGGCTGTTCTACCTTAAAATAGAAGATAATTTACATCACACTTATCTACATCTGTTGTAAGAAGCTGAAGATTTATAGATGTGGTGATTTATTTTCATCCTTTAAAAATTATTTTTATTAGTACATGTTTGCAGTACATAGTGATTACATTTATTGTAGGGAATTGGCACATGAACATGACACAGCTCAACTCTTTTTATTTTCCTTCTTTAGTCAGCCAGTTGGGTAGATGGGTGTTGTGGAGCCTCACTCTATGTTACTGTTTTTTGTTGTGTTTTGTTTGTTTTTTTTAAATGACTCTCCTGCTGTTAAGAGACGGGAAGGACTGTGAGTGAGGGCTCATTGAACTTTACAGTAACAGCATTGTAATAGGTTGTTGGGAGGCTGTTTCGATGCATTAGGAGTGTGTCTTCCTAAGGAATGGTGGCTTTTTCCCCAGCAGTATATATGTGTCACTGTGTGTTGTATGAAGTAAGGCCATCACTTTGGGAAAGTCACCTGAGGTCAATGTCAACTTGAGAAGGATGTTTAAATAGTTTAGGAAGAGTAAAAGAACATTTCTCTATGTAATAGATGAGGGCAGGTTTTCTTTTTTGTATTACTGGATATTGAACTCTTCCTTGTGCATGCTTGGCAAGTATTCTACTACTGAACCACCCCCACACTTTTAAATTTTAATTTTGAGTATTTTGAGGCAGGCTCTTTTTACATTTCCCAGGCTTGCCTCATTTTTGAGATCTTCCTGCCTTAGTCCCTGTAGTAGCTGGGGTTATAGGCGTGCACCGTTGTCCCTGACTCAGAAGTGTATTTGTGAAAGAGCTAGGAAAACTACACAGCACACACTTAGGGCATAGGAAGTTGTGATAGTAACCCTCTCTTTAGCCTTGAAACTGGTTTTTACGTTTGTTAGAATAAAGTGTTTGTCCTAATGTGCTCTATTTGGGAAGAGTTTGTTTGTTTAAGGTTTTAATCAAAAATTTAAATAGAATATTCATGTCCACAGATTAGTTGAAATTTTGACTTGGTTTGCTATTCCTGTGTATGTTGGGGTGAAGGATTTTGATTAAATTTAGGATACCACTTTAATTTGAATTGAAAATAAACTCAGTAAGCTCTTAGTATTCGTTGGCTTGAATTTCTAATTAAACTAGAATTTTCTTATAAATCTGGCATTTTGGGAGGGTGAGGTAATTAATAAAAGATATTCCATTTGCATTATTGTTAGAATTCAGAATTTGAAATTTCTGTGTTTTGAGCCTTTATTGTTCTGCCTCTTACCCTTGATATAAATAGTTCTTTAATTTTTAACTGCAGTCTTTCTTGAGTTTGATCTTGAACATGGGCGGTGCTGTGAGTGCGGGTGAGGACAACGACGAACTAATCGATAATTTGAAAGAAGCACAGTATATCCGGACAGAACTGGTGGAACAGGCTTTTAGAGCTATTGATCGAGCGGATTATTATCTGGAGGAGTTTAAAGAAAATGCCTACAAAGACTTGGCATGGAAGCATGGAAACATTCACCTGTCAGCCCCATGCATCTACTCAGAGGTGATGGAGGCCCTGGATTTGCAGCCTGGGCTCTCGTTTCTGAACCTGGGCAGTGGTACTGGATACCTCAGCTCCATGGTTGGCCTCATTTTAGGTGAGTGCAGAAGGAGAGTCGAAACCTTTTCCAGACAGAACCAGGCTGACTGCATGCCCTTGTAGAGACTGCAGCATAGTCCTTTGGTAGCAGGTAGCTGTAGGATGTTCCCTTATGAGCTTTTGAGCTCTCAGCCCTTTCCTATTCCTTTTCTCCTCCCACCTATACCTTTGCAGTCTGCTGTGGTTGATGGAAGACCAGAAGAGAGGTGTTAGGTTAATTACTTTTCTCTTGTTGCTGAGATAAAATATCAGATGCCCCAAATTAAGGAAGGAAAGGTTTATTAGCTCACAGTTTGTGGAAGTTTCAGGGGTAATTAGCTGACTCCAAGGCAGGTGGTGTGGCAAAGGGGCACCTGTTCATGGTAGCAGAAGACCGCAAAAAGCAACGAGAGCAGAAAGGGGTGGAGCAGGCAGGCAGGCATGCCTCTTTCCCTCCCTTACCTTGCGTGTGGGCTACCCAAGCCAGGGTGGCTGTAGCACTCACACCCATCATCCCGGCATCGGGCCATTGGGTTCTTTTTTTCCTTTTTTCTTTTTTGCGGTATTGGGGATCAAACTTGGACCTTGTGCTTGTGAGGAAGGCACTTATGCCATTGAGCTATATCCCCAGCCCCCAGCAATGGACCATGAATCAAGCACAAACTCTAGAAGCCCTCATATCTGCATGAGGCTTTGTGGATACATCTAGTTACAAACCGTAACAGGTGTCAATATTGATGTCACATATTTCTTGGTTCACTCGAGCCCTGCTGCTGTCCCATCCCCCTACTCCCCAAGGAGTCTGTTTTCCTTTTGTTTCTTCTCTCCACCTAGGGTCATTAAAGTCTTGATAGTTAGAGTTCCTCCAAACAGTTTGTTTTGTTGTTCAATACTAGAAGAATACATTTATATATTCTAAATACATTTTAGGAATGGGAGTGATTTTAGAAGATATGTTAATTTAAAGCTACTTAAGCTGTTTTCACAGATAAATTATAATAGATATGGGAATATGGCCATTTTTGATATTAATAACTCCAGTATCAGATAACCAAATATTTATTGGATTCCGTGTTGTGTAAAAATGGCACACTAGGGGAAGGACGTCGGCTTTTACTCTAAATAAGGTGGGATGGATTTGCCAGAAGAGAGAAAAGTGGCAATCAGTGCTGTGGAAGATTGCTGTGAGTAGGGTAGGGGCTGGGCTGCTACAGCAAGTTGATGGAGACCTGAGAAATAGCCAGTGACTTTTTATTTTTGTATTTTTAAGTTTTATTTTGTTTGTGTGCATGGTACTAGGTATTAAACCCAGGGCCTTTGTGATGCATCCCCCACCCAGGTCTTTCTTTCTTTCTTTTCTTTTCTTTTTTTTTTTTTTTTTTTTTTTTTGTGTGTGTGTGTGGGGGGGGTAACCAGGGATTGAACCCAGGTCTTTCTAATATTCCCAGCTCTTTTTACTTTTATTTTTATTTTTTCTCTTTATGTATTTCATCCTGGCCTCGAACTCCCTGTGTAGCCCAAGCTGGCCTCTAAATTGTGGTGATCCTGTTACCTTAGCCTTCTAGGTGCTTGGATTATGGCTGTACAGCACCCTCTTTAATTTATTGGATACAGGGTCACACTGCACAGTTTAGACTTGTAGTAATCCTCCTGTCTCAGCCTCCCCAATGCTGAGATTTCAGGTGTGTGCCACTGTGCCCAGTTTCGGGGCCAGCATGGCATGCAGTATCAGGGATTGAACTCTGGTCCTTGCACTTGCCAGGAAGGTTCTTAGGCCACTGAGCTTTCTCCCCAGCCCAGCCATTTTTAAGTTTTTGCTTTTTTTTTTTTTTTTTAGCAGAAACAATATCATATGTTTATTTTAATCAATATATTCCACAGGTCTTTATTACAAGTCAGGTGATGTTAGGCACCTAAGATAGAAAGCAAATGAGATATACACCTATCTGCCTTCCTCTCCCAAGACTCACCCTAATTAGTTTTTGCTTTTTTAAATTTAATTTTATTTCCTTTTTAAGTTTTGTTTTGAGACTGTGTCTCACTAATTTGCTAAATTACCCAGACTGGGATTTATATTGGGATCCTCCTACCTTCCACAGTGCTAGGGGCTAGCTTGCAGCTGGTATTTTTTGATATTGGAACTGATTTGTTACAATTAAAGCAGAACAAAAGGTGGTGAATTCTTGGCTTTAGTCTTTATGGCTTTCTTATTGTCAAACTTTTAGGTCCTTTTGGTGTGAACCATGGGGTGGAGCTTCATTCTGATGTGATAGAGTACGCAAAACAGAAACTGGACTTCTTCATCAGGACAAGTGACAGCTTTGACAAGTATGATCAGATGCTACTCACTGGGACAGCAAGTGTGAATTCAACAAATTTTGGATTAAATAGAAGCAAATTTATTAGTATGCATATGCTAACAATGTTTTAAAAGGTTTTATGTTTTATTTCATGTTATTGGTACAGAGTCTCACTACGAAGTTTGGACTTGTAGTAATACACCTTTTTCAGCCTCCCCAGGGCTGGGATTACAGGGTCCACCACCACACTCCAGGGCTGGTGCTGCATGCGGTCCCGGGGTGAGCTTGGCAGTCAGGCTAGACCGCCGAGCTCTCTCCCCAGCCCACTAGCAGTGTTTTTAAACTACGGTTGGATGGTCCTAGGTTATAATATATGTACACATTCTAATCATTATTTTTTTAATGTCATGGTTTTAAGGGCTTTAGGTTTCATTAAACATGATGTCTTTGTAAACATAATTTTCATCAGAATAAGAGAAGACAAACATTTCATTTCGTTCAAGTTTTATGTTTCTAGTGTAGCCACGTTTAACATGCAATTGTTTCTAAAATAGAATTGTTGCATTTATCTGCAGACAGTTTATACGGCAGCTCCTGCTATTTTATTTATTTATTTATTTTTAAAATTATTTTTATTTTTATTTTTATTTATGTGTGTGTGTGTGGCCAGCTCAGCCCACCAGGGGGCAGGGCTGGCTGGCATGTGGTGCTGGGGGATTGAACCATGGTCCCTGTGCTTTGCTAAGCTTGTTCTAAGTAGGTGCTTTAGACCACTGAGCCGTCTCACCAGCCCCAGCTCCTGCTATTTTAAAGTCAGGCATTAAATTTTTTATTTTAGGAATTACTATTTTTTTTTGTGGAACTGGGGATTGAACTCGGGCCTTTCCACTTGCCAGGCGTCTCCCCGGCCCCTTTTGTTTGTTCTTTTGAGACAGGATCAAGCCATGTAGTCTAAGAGTGGCTTCAATCTCACTGTGTAGCCCAGGCTAGCCTCAAATTCATGGTGATCCTACTATCTCAGCCTCCAAAGTGCTGGGATTACTCTCCAACCCTGGCAGGGATTAAATTTTTAAGAGAAAAAAATTTAAGAGATGCAAAATACGGTTTACTGTACTTGTCAGACAGATCTCGGCTACTGTGATGAGCACGGTAAACAACAGAAAAACTAGAATTTATTTTAAATTTGGATCATGCTTATGACATTCACTTTCATTTTATTTTATTTTGAATTTCTAAGGTTGTATTTGTGTGGTATAATTTTCTTTGGAAATGTGGCTTCTGGCTCTGGGAGCTCATAGTGCGCTGGGATTTTAGCACTGAAGTATGATCTGGGTGATGGGGAGTGTTTCCCTCCAGGTTCGACTTCTGTGAGCCCTCCTTCGTTGCTGGCAACTGCCTGGAGCTCTCCCCAGGGTGCTCTCGCTACGACCGAGTGTATTGTGGGGCCGGTGTGCGGAAGGAGCATGAGGAGTACATGAAGAGCCTGCTCAAGGTCGGGGGCGTCCTCGTCCTGCCTCTGGAGGAGAAGGTCAGTGTTTCACGGCTGACGGATTTCTGTGCTGGCAGCCAAGGTCTCTTTTAGGCAGTTCACATATATTCATGCTTGTAGCAGTATCTACCATTGTATAAATTAAGAAAAAGGGGCGAGGCCAGGTGTGGGGCTTGTCCAGGTCCCGCAGACCCGTGCGGAGCACACCTGACATGCATGCTAGGCAATGCGGGCCGTGTGGAGTGCACCTGACGCGTGCTTGTGGCCCTCCTTCCCGCCACCCTTTTCTCCATTCCTCGTGTTCTTCTCTCCTTTCTTCCTCACTCCCTGCCTCTTTTCCTTTACACTCTTCCTTTCTACTCCAGCTCTTCTCATGTTTAATTCTAATTGATGTAATGTCAGAATTATATAGGACACTGTCAAGGTATTCCATTTTTTTTTTAATTATTATGTGTGTGTGTGTGTGTGTGTGTGTGTGGCCAGCTCAGCCCACCAGCGGGCGGGGCTGGCTGGCATGTAGTGCTGGGGGATTGAACTGCGGTCCCTGTGCTTTGCTAAGCTTGTTCTAAGTAGGTGCTTTAGACCACTGAGCCATCTCACCAGCCCCAAGGTATTCCATTTTGTTATTCTGTTTTGGTGAATATTTTATAGAAATCCTTGTCTTGTGGGAATCTTGTTCAGTTGTACTGTTTGGTTTTGTTTGTGTTTCAGAAACAAAATGGATTAAAATTAATTAGTATATCAAGCAGGCAAATTAGTCACCATTAAGATTTTCTTTTATTCCATAGAATTTGGAAAAGCAGATATGATAAAAATGAGCTAGTACATTCTTTGATGTTACCTTTTTTTTTTCTTCAGAAAACGATACACAATTTAGAAAATATACAAAATATGAACATTAAGAAAAAGTGCTTGAGGTTGGTCGGGGAGATAGCTCAGTAGAATAAGTGCTTGCCTGGCAAGCGCAGTGTCATGAGTTCAATCCCCAGTACCAAAAAAAAAAAAAAAAAAGAAAAGAAAAAGTGCTTGGGGGCCAGCCAGATAGCTCAGCAGACTAAAGCGCCTGCTTAGGCAGAGCGCAGTGACCAGGTTTGTTCCCCAGCATGCTGTGCTGATCCCGCCCCTGGGGCGCTCTGAGATGGCAAATGAGACTGTGCGTGGTGGCACGCACCTATAATCTCAGCACTGGGGAGGCTGAAAACAGGAGAATCACTATGAGTCTGAGCTACGTAGTGAGACTCTGTAGACCCTGTACTACATACAAGGGAAAAAAATAGCCCTGCTTATAATCTCTGACATCATTGCTCTTAGTATGTGATACTCAGTACTTTTAAATTTGTGTTCTCTTTTTCAAAGCTTATTGTACATATTACAAGTACAAGTTTACAACTTTAGTGTTTTATCCAAAAGAGTCCATTAATATAATTTTAAGTTATTTGATACTTAATATCAGTTTAGGATTTACATAGTATCCTGTTGTTTGTCAGGTTTCTTAACTGGCTCCTATTACTGAGAGTTGGGCTGTATATTATTTTTCTATTATATAGAGACATTACTGAATGTCTGTAATTTTAAAAATTTCATGTATTTGAGTATGTAGCTGTCCAAGATAGGCGGTGCTTCTTTAAAAAGTTATAAAACTGGGGCCGGGGAGATGGCTCAGTGGAATAAGCACTTCCCTGGCAAGCGCAGGGTCCTGAGTTCAATCCCCGGTTCTGAAAAAAAAAAAAAAGTTATAAAACCATTATAAACCTAAAAATTAATAATTTGTTCGTATCTTCAGACATTCAATTCATGGTCAAATTTTCCTTGTCCCCAAAATTTGTGTATTGGAAAGAAGAACATATATAAGAGTCATCTGTTGCATTGTTGTCAAATATCTTCGGAGTCTTTTTTTGTTGTTTTTTTTGCGGAACCGGGGATTGAACTCAGGCCCTTGCACGTGCCAGAGAAGTGCTTATTCCACTGAGCCATCTCCCCGGCCCCTTAGGAGTCTTTTAAAAATAGGTTCTCCTTTAAAAAATTTTTATTGGGGCTGGGGAGATAGCTCAGTAGAATAAGCGCCTGCCTGGCAAGTGCAGGGTCCAGAGTTTAATCCCTGGTTCCGGAAAAAAAAAAAAAAATAATAATACGTGTTTGCAATTCCTTTCTTTAACTTTTTTTGCTATTTAATTTTTCAAAGAATTGGTCATTTGTTCTGTGAATGTTCTACAGTCTGGATTTTGCAGATTATATATTTCTATGGTGCTGTTTTACATGTCTTTCTGTTCTTTGTATATTCTATATATGGGTAGTTGGGTTGTGATTTGATTAAGTTTGCATTTGAGATATTTTGAGGGAGAAGAGTACAAGAATATTTACCAGGGGCTGGGAGGGGCGCGGGGCTCCTCCGCACAGCTGCCGCTTCCTCTCGGGGTCTCCTTCCTGTTCTGGATGGTTTTCTGAGTCTGGCTGCCGCCGCCACCCGCCCGTCCTCGGCCCATGACCCGCCCCCATGACACGCCCCCGGCCCGCGTCCACCCAGCGTCCACCCAGCGCGACCTCCGTTGTTAGTCTAAGGGCCGTGTCTGTGCCACTGAGAGCTAAGGACCGTCCAGACGCGGCGAGGCTGAGCACACGCGGACACCGAGGGCCGGGACAGCGCGGACCATGGCGCTGAAGCGGATTAATAAGGAACTTAGTGACTTGGCCCGGGACCCTCCAGCACAGTGTTCTGCAGGCTCGTTGGGGATGATGTGTTCCATTGGCGAGCCACACTTATGGGACCTAATGACAGCCCGTACCAAGGCGGTGTATTCTTTTTGACAATTCATTTTCCTACAGACTACCCCTTCAAACCACCTAAGGTTGCATTTACAGCAAGAATTCATCATCCAAAAGTTAACAGTGATGGCAGCGTTTGTCTCGATATTCTAAGATCACAGTGGTGTCCTGCTTTAACTATTTCTAAAGTTCTTTTATCCATTTGTTCACTGCTGTGTGATCCAAACCCAGACGACCCCCTAGTGCCAGAGACTGCACGGATCTACAAAACAGACAGACAAGTACAACAGAAAATCTCGAGAATGGACTCAGCAGTGTGCCTGTGATGCTACCTTAAATTCAGAATCACCTGCATTGTAGCTGGGATAAACTTTAAATTGCTGTTTCTTTTTTGATTTTCTTGTCCGGCTGCTCCCCTATCAGACCTCATCTTTTTTTAATTTTATTTTTTTGTTTACCTCGCTCCATTCATTCATATGCTCATCTGAGAAGACTTAAGTTCTTCCAGCTTTGGACAATAACTGCTTTTAGAAACTGTAAAGTAGTTACAAGAGAACAGTTGCCCAAGATTCAGAATTTTTTCAAAAATGGAGCATGTGTATTATGTGGCCAATGTCTTCACTCTACCTTGGTTATGAGACTAAAGCATTCCTCACAGCTCTAACTGCTGAAGAAGCCATCTGGGGGGGTGGGTGGATGCTCGGTGATCTCGGCAAGGAAGCAGCATTATTCTAGCAGCATCCACGCTTGTTGAGCCTCCACTGTTAGAGATCTGAGGTTACGTGATATACTTTATGCTCATAACTGATGTGGCTGGGAAGTGGTATTGAATTTATAGCATCAGCGGAACAGAAAATGTGATGTATTTTATGCATGTCAATAAAGGAATGACCTGTTCTTGTTCTACAGAGAATGGAAATTGGAACTCAAACACCCTTTGTATTCCAAAGTAGGGTCTCAAAACATTTTGTAATTTTCATTTAAACTGTTAGGAGGCTTGGAGCTATTAGTTAATCTACCTTCCAATACACTGTTTAATATAGCACTGAGCAAATGATGCAAGTTGTCAATGGATGAGCGATCAACTAATAGCTCTGCTAATAATTGATTTATTTTTCTTCAGTAAAGTTGCATAAACCAAAAAAAAAAGAATATTTACCAGATATTTATATAGTCATCCCCTTGGTATCTGTAGGGAATAAGTTTCAAGACCTCCCCTTCCACCCATTAAGATACCAAAATCCACAAATCTTCATTCAAGTAAGTACCTTACTAGAAAATCACATAGTATGTTATGAGTATTTAACCTGCACAAATCCTTCATCTACTTTTAACTGATCTCTAGTTTGTTTATGATATCTAACACAATGCAAATGGTATGTAAATTGTTTCCTAATGCATTGTTTGGAAAATAATGACCAAGAAAAAATTGTGTCCAGAACAGAGGGTTTTTTTTTCTTTTCCTGAATGTTTCTGGTCCATGATTATTTAGTTTAAAAAAAACCAAGAAAAGAAAAAAAAGATAGGGGATTATAGTTTTACTTAAATTTTCATGCATCATTTAATGATTAAAGATTTGATTTTCATTATAACTAGAAATTCATATTTTTAAGAATATTTGGGGGGAGCCCGGGGAGATGGCTCAGTGAAATAAGGGCTTCACTGGCAAGCATAAAGGCCTGAGTTCAATCCCTGGTTCTAAGGAAAAAAAAAAAATGGGGAAAACTTTTCTCGGTGCATAAGAAGGTGATTAATTTGTTATTTACCTAGTACGTGGCTATGTAATCCACTTACAGAATTTCAGTTTTAGAAGATTGGCTGGTTTAGATATTTTTAGGGAAGGCTGGCATATAATCTTATATGACAGAGCTAACCCAAAATAGTACTGTGTCCTACTTAGGCTGTATGGAAACTAACCTAGTCACACTGAACACGTGGATATTGACTGTGCTGTCTAATTGAATATTCCGTACTAAGAAATGTTTTGAGGACCTGCACTGCAGTGTATGAACCACCAAATCCCAGTGCACCAAGGGTGCTGTTGGGGTGTATCCTTCCTAGAAGAACGAGCATAATTGCCTAGGAATCCAGAGAGAGAAATCTGCACTGAAGACAGTTACAGTGTATGCGGTAGTGCCTAGCATTTGGGCCTCTCCTGCATCCTTGTAGTTGTAGGAATTATAGAAATGTCTGTATATTCACACTTAACAGGGAAGACTGGAATTCAAATTTATTTATTTATTATGAATTTAGGACGGGGTCTACAGGGTGTACAGGGTCTCACTATATAGATTGTACTTAAGGGCTGGGGAGATGGCTCAGTGGAATAAGCACTTCCCTGGCAAGTGCAAGGGCCTGAGTTCAATCCCCAGTTCCGCAAAAAAAAAAAAATAAATAAAATAAAATAAAATAAAAAAATAAATCATTAGATTGTACTTGTAGTGGTTCTCCTGTTTCCAGCATCCCAAGAGGTGGGATTACAGGTGTGTGCCACCATGTCCAGTCTTGGTCAGCCCTGGGGGCGGGGCGGGCACAGTGCGCCAGGGATCGGACCTTGACCACTCTGCTGTGCCAAAGCAGGCATTGGAATTCAAATTTGATTGGAGCATTGTGCTTTTCTGTGCCTTCAGTTACTTTTATGTCAGAACAGCCCACTGTAGCTTCCTTCCAGTCACTGATCTTGTCTGAAGAGCCTGAGAATGTAAGAATCTCCACCTTTCTAATCTAAGCACTTCCTCAAGTAACCCTTTAATAAGTTGTGTGTCATGTGTTCGTCCTTTAAACAGAAGGTGCTGAAGCTTGGATGCATTCTGTACTCCATGCCGTATCACATTAGGGTTCCTACTGCTGGCTGCTTTCATTTAGTATAGCTGTAGATTTAGGGTTGTTATATATAGGCTGATCACAAATACACGTTATCTAATAGCCAGACCTTTTGGATATTCTTTTGTCTTTGGAATAGTTGACCAAGATAACACGCACAGGCCCTTCTGCTTGGGAAACCAAAAAGATTCTGGCTGTTTCCTTTGCTCCCCTGGTCCAGCCCTGCCGCTCAGAGTCAGGAAAGTCCAGACTTGTCCAGCTACGTGAGTACATGCATCATTCTTTTTAAAAAAATCTTTTAGTCTCGTTAGAATTAGAAAGGAAGCAAAAATTATAAGCAATCTCTCTGACCAAAACCTTAGAATTGTACAAAGGCTTTTAGGCACTTAAAAATTATAATTTATAGGGGCCGGGGAAATGGCTCAGTGGAATAAGTGCTTCTCTGGCAAGTGTAAGGGACTGAGTTCAATCCCTGGTTCTGAAAAAAAAAAAAAAAAATTAATAATAATAAATAATAAATGATTTATTTTTAGCACATCCTAAGTTATGTTAGCCATCTTTTAAATATACAAAGAACTGCCACTGGTCATGCTATAGAGAATAGAAGATTCACAAGGAATGGAGCTTTTTTGCCACGTAGAATACTTAGACTGTCTGCTGGACTTGTGCCTGAGTCACAGACCTGCTTCTGTAGGGAGAGGAAGGTTAGCCCGCCCGTTCCTGTTCATCTGCAGGGTGCACCCGGAGGATTTGGTGGAGGTTTGTTTGCTGACTCTGAGTGTCACACCTTCAGGGTGCAGACCCCATAAAGAGCTGGCACCAGAGCAGCATTCATCGTCATGTTTTAGAATTTAAACAGTTCAGACAGAACCGGAAATTCTAGTTGATTTGATTTAAATTTAAGCTATCATTTTAAAAATTTGAAAGAGGAAAGGAAGAGAGAAAATAGTATACATACCTTTGGCACCCAAAGATTATATTTCTGGTGAATCATTTCAGAACTATTTTTTAAAATTTTTTCTTTCTTTCTTTTTAAAAAAAAATGTATTTTAGTAACAGGTCTACAGGGTCTCACTACGTAGATCGGACTAGTAGTGATTTTTCTGTTTTCAGCCTCCCAAGCGCTGGGATTACAGGCACGCACCACCACACCCAGTCTCAATTGCCAGCTCACCATGCCCCGGGGGTCGGGGCCAGCACTGTTTTTTTTAATTTCCGAGGATTCATTTGTCAGTCACATTTGGCTAAGTACAAGTCATGTGGCATAGGCAAGGTCCATTGGAACACGAAAAGTAGTTTAAAGAGACCAGGGGTGTTTGATTTAGGATGATGATGTTTGTTCTTGCTGTTTTCTTTTATTTTTCATTTTTAATGTATTTTGGTACAGGGTCTCACTATGCAGCTTAGACTCTGGTCCTGCTGTTTTCAGCCTCCCCAGCACTGGCATTACAGGCGTGCACTACCATGCCTTGGTGGCCGGGTCAGTGTGCCTGGGGGCATGGCCACTGCAGAACATGGTTCTGTGGATTGATTCCCTGGCCCTGCACTTGGCTAAGCAGGTGTTTAGTCCACTGAGCTATCTCGCTGGCACTTGTTCTTACTGTTTAGACTAGAAAGTAATTCCCTAAAGAAAGAAGGAGAGGAATGGTATTAAAGAATATTTACCTCCCAATGAATCCTTAGAATTGTACACGAGGCAAAACTAAAAACACACATTCTAGGGGCCGGGGAGATAGCTCAGTAGAATAAGTGCTTGTCTGGCAAGCGCAAGGACCTGAGTTCAATCCCCGGTTCTGAAAAAAAAAACCCCAAAAACCAAAACACACATTCTCCCACTGTGATCAGAGTTGAAAGTAGGTTGGTTTATAGGCTAAATTTGAGGTTATCATGTGGAAGGCCTCCACATGTTTACATGCAGATAGAACATGCTTGACTTCTGGATCACCCTGTTGGTCAGGTAGAGGGTAATCTTATTACATATGTGTTTGGAAAATCTTTACTATAAAACTTTAAGCAAATGCTGCTGTTGATAAGTTGTGGCCTTAGTTTCCAGAGCTGTAACAGAGCGTGGGAAGGGACTTGTTCATTGTGGTATTGATGAGATTTTTTTTGAAGGTCTGGTTGAAAATGAGTCACTGTGTGTGAGGTTTGATCAGATCTTGATGAGTCTTGACAGTGTGTTGGCTATCTTGAGATGCTCGTTTTGAGGGAGAAAGCCAATGCTGGGTGATAAACATTTATGTAGTTATATTTAGAGTCCCTGAAGTAAATAATCAAGTTATTTGCAGCTTTTATCCTACTTGGCTGGAGTTTCCTAGGCTAGTGAAGACTGAACACAGTAGGATAGAGAAATAGCATGAACAAAGGTGGTGAGGCCCTATTGTTAGTAGTTGGGTGGTACCCAGGTTGTTGGTGTCCTGAACAAAGAACTGAACAAGGTACACAGAAAAGGTAGCAGCATATACGCTTGTTGAAGGTGCAACAGAAGGAGACTCTGCAGAGTGAGAACAGCTGGTGAACAGACTCACAGCATCCCTGAAGATAATGGAAAGGATTCTTTTATATACAAAATTCTTGGGACTGGTGAGATGGCTCAGTGGTCTAAAGCACCTACTT